CAGAGGATAAGCCTCTAGTCTTCTGCTGAGGTTTTAGCCCCAACTATACCCTCACTTTCAGATATTTTTGCTGTTGTTATTTCTTGGGGATTTAGGGATCCTGATGTACAGTTAGATTGTTCCTTGGCTTTCCCTACTGCTTCATTAGGATTTGCATATTTGGGACTTATAAGTCAATGACTACTTATTCTTGTATATTCATTATTCCCAAAAGTATTCCTAATCTTTTTTGTTTTATACTTTTCATATTTTTGAGTTTATATTTTAAAATCTCTTTACTGTTATTTTCTACTTTAGAAAGTAACAGAAGTAAATATATATGGACAAAGTGTCCTATTTAACTGGAAGTTTGAGCGTTACATTTTTATTTCAATAGGACTATAGAACTATATGATTTTATATCTATAAATTTGTGAAACTTTTAAAATTACCACTGCTGAACCCTCAGTTTCCATAGAACAGAGTATAAAATTAATTAATATAATTAATTAAGAATGATATTTATAGGGTTCCTGGGTGGCTCAGTCAGTTGTTTGCCTTCAGCTCAGCTCACGATATCAGAGTCCTGAGATCAAGCCCCACATTAGAGTCCCTGCTCAGTGGGGAGTCTGCTTCTTCCTCTGTCCTCACCCTGCTCATCCTCTCTCTCTCTCTCTTGCTCTCTCCAATAATTAAAAAAATCTTTAACGAATCTTTTAAATTTTTTTTAAAACGGTGTTTACTTATTTCTAATTTTTACAGCTATTCAGAAGCATAGCTATCACCTCCATTTTACAAATGAGGAAATTGGGTCTCAGAAATAATTTTCCCAGGGTTTTCAAAACAATATTATCTGAAATCTACAGTATCTATAGATACAGGTTGGATTTAATATTTTCAATAAAACAATGAAAGAGAATATAACTAGTCCATTGTAACATTTTTGTATCTATAGTTAATTTATAAGATCTATAATTGATATATAAGATGTTCTATAATAGATATAGAAGATATTCTATAATAAAAATTAATAAACACACCCATCAGTGGCTTTCTATACATTGGCAAAAAAAATGTTTTAAGTGAGAACTTGTGAGCATCTTTCAGGAAGACAGAAATAATTAAAAGAAATTTTTAAGAAGTTTGTGTGATGTCCTCACACCTGTCACAATGGCTAGAATCAACAGTACAAGAAACAAGTGTTGGTGAGAATGTGGAAAAGGGGAACCTTCTTGCACTGCTGGTAGGAATGAAAACTGGTGTAGTCCCTCTGGAAAACAATATGGAGGTTCCTCAAGAAGTTAAAAATAGAACTACCCTATGATCCAGCAATTATACTATGAGCTATTTACCCAAAGAATACAAGAATATTAATTCAAAGGGATACATGCACCCCAATGTTCATAGCAGCATTATCTATAATAGCCAAATTATGGAAATAGCCCAAGTATCCAGTGATTGATGAATGGATAAAGAAGAGGTGGTATATATATACAAAAGAATATTGCTCAGCCCTAAAAAAGAATGAAATCTTGTCATTTGCAATGACATGGATAGAGCTAGAGAGTATAATGATAAGCTAAATAAGTCAGTCAGGGAAAGAAAAATGCCATATGATTACATTCATATGTGGAATTTAAGAAACAAACAAGCAAAGGGAAAAAAGAGAGAGAGATAGAGAAAAATGAAGAAATAAATTCTTAACTATAGAGAACAAGCTGTTGGTTACCAGAGGGGAGGTGGGTGGGGTGATGGGTTAAATAGGTGATGGGTTAAATAGGTGATGGGGATTAAGGATTGTACCTGTAATGAGGATGGGATGTACCAAATTGTTGAATCACTATATTGCACACCTATTGAATATTGAAACTAATATTACACTGTATGCTAATTGGAATTTAAATAAGAACTTAAGATAAAAGAAGTTTGTGATGTAATATGCTTCCTCATTTCCAACAAAATCTACAGTATCTATAGGTACAAGTTGGATTGAATATTTTTAATAAAAGAATGCAAGAGCTGATATTCAATATTAGAACATGTCAATTATATTCACAGTGCATACTTTTGAATGTGTTAATTTACTCCCAATCTCAGTTTTCTCGTATATAAAATGAAGATAATACCTATTCCATGAATTATTTAAAGAATTAGACATAAAAACGAAATAAATACTAGAAAAGTACTAGGAACACAATAGGTTCTTTAAAACTTCTACCTGTTGTTAGTGAATATAAATTCAAAACCATATATACATTTGGGTGAGGTTAGATTCACTACATATCCTCCCTCTTGTTTTGCCAAGACTTTAACAAAAGCAAGATCTTTTTTTTTTTTTTTAATTCATAAAAGACACACAGAAAGACAGAGACACAGGCAGAGGGAGAAGCAGGCTCCCTGTGGAGAACCTGCTGCAGGACTAGGTCCTGGGACCCTGGGATCACAACCTGAGCCAAAAGCAGATGCTCAACCACTGAGCCACGCAGGTGCCCCAGTACTGGCAAGAATTAGTGAGTCTTAGAAAAAAGCCTCTTCTCTAACTCAGTCCATTTTCTTGCCAGGAATAAACAAAGGAGGACTAATTTTCAGAGTACTTCACTATAAGAGGTGGACTAATGTTTAAATTTGTTTTAACAAATTTCTGTGTCTGTAACATCTTGGATAGTGACTGACAGACAGTAGGCTTTCCACAAATATTTACTGAGTAAATGGATGAAGCAAAAATACTGCTAAAATTGAACTCCTGTTTTTTTCTAGTTACGCTTTCAATTTACATTATCATTCTTTCCAAACATATCTTTCGATATATAGCTCATATTAAGGCAGAGGTAGGCAAATATTTCTTAAACAGTTAGATAATAAATATTTAGACTTTGTGGGCCATATGGTCTCTGTGAAAGATACTAAACTCTGTCATTATAAACAAAAGCAGGTATGGAAAGGACATAAACAAATGTTCATGGCTATGTTTCAATAAAACTTTAATTATAAACACTGAAATGTAAGATTTCTATAATTTTTACACGTCACAAAACATTTTTCTTCTTTTTTATTTTTTCAATCATTTAAAAATTCAAAAATCAGTTTTAGCTTACAAACTATTCAAAAGCAGGAAGTGGACCAGGTTTGGTAAACAGACGATATTTTGCTACCCCTCTGTTAAGGTGTGGTTCTTTGTTTAAAAGCATATGGAGAAAATTTGGTGAACAACTTCCTCTACTTGTCAGCTTAGTCATACAGCAAATATAAGATATTTTTATTAGAAATTACTGTAGGATTTCTTCTCACACTATTTTCAATAAGACTGGCATGGCAAACTTGGAATCCAGTTTGCTTAGGTATCATGGTTTCCATGTTATGACAAGGATGTTTACCACAACATTTTGCCCCTCTTTCAAAACTCTCACTGGTTTCAGAAAACAAATAAGCAATTATTTCCATTTTTTCACCTTTCTCAATACTTTAATCATCTTTGACTCCTCCCTTCCCCTGCATCTTTCCCCCATCCCTCAAAGCCAATCAATCCCCAAATTTTGTCAGGTTTTCTTTTCTTCAAGTCCTAAATGTTTTCTTTTCTATCCCCATTCATTGCCTAGTTCAGGACCTCATCAACAGTTATATTTTGTGAAATAAACATTTTATATACTCTATTTCTCTTCTGTCAATCACGTCGCCATAATCCTCTGAACTGTGAAGATGATACAAATAGGGACTCTCATTAGAAAAACTGCCACATGGTCTTCTTTCCTTACAAGGACAGGCATAGGGCATTTGTCAAAATTACAAGACAAGTAGCTTAGAAATAAATACAAAGAAAATAGTTTTCAATGTCATGGGTCATGACAGAAAACAAATTGGATGGCTAGGTTGCATTTAACCCAAACCACTTATCACAGAATTTGCAACTGAGCAATTGACAAAGAAAAAAGATCAAGATGGCAGGCAAAAAATGACTAGCTTCAGGGATCAGAAGGAGTCCTTCAATCATCTCTCTGTTTCTAGACTTAACTCCATGGGTTCCCATATATAAAAGTCTTCTATTCAGACTCTAATATCAGACATTAACATTCAGGCATCAGGACATCACTTTTGGAGTTTCTGCTACCGAGATTTCTTGAACTTCACAAAAATTAGTGAGTATTATTAGACATGAATTAACAAGAAACTTGCAATCTTTTCATGTCTCATTCCAGAAAACTGCACTAAGGACTAGGAGACACAGGTGGCTGTCAGATGACTCTGACACATGGAATTTTTAGAACAGTCCAGACATCCTCTGCCTCAGACACATCCTCCCAGGTCAAAGTTAAATATTTAAGGCAGCTGATCACAATTTGAAATTTTCTTGCCCTCAACAATAGTTGGCTTAATCTTTTCTTGACAGAGCTCTAAACTCAAGAATTCTCTGCATTCAGTCTTAATTCTCATCTCTAATGTTCTAGACTTTGGATTCATAGATGATCTTTTCTGTCTGAGGACCTTGACTTTATACAGTGGGTTGTTGTTTGGTTTACTCTTTTGCCTCTGGAGAAAAATCTGCCCTAGAGCCTGCCCAAATAATGAAATCTTCTCCACCTCCTCAGTGCCACTTCAAGCCCAGACTGCAGTTCTTAGCCACTTCCCACAACTCCAAAGAAAAAGACACCCCACCATAGTATTAAAAGTTTGTAGAAACTGTGTGTTGGATTTTAATCACTAACCATTTTCTTGATAATTACCAAGTGAGATGCCAGGAGGAGAAGCTGGAAACCAGCCTGACACTATTAATTTTTTTGATGGTATGAATAAAGTTGTAGAAAGCTTATTTATCGAATTTCCAGGTGATCTAACATGAAAGGTGACAGAATCAATATTCAAAATAAATAATGACACCCATGGTAGCTATTTTTATTTCCTTGCCTGAATACTTTTTGGATGTATCATTTTTTAATAAGAAAAGATATTTTAGACTGGCTATGAATCCTAGTCAGCCAAGCATCCTCACCTCACCTCTGACCAAGATTTCAACAGACATCACCAAAATGCCCTCTCAAATGGAGCATGTCATGGAAACCATGATGTTCACATTTCACAAGTTTGCTGGGGTTAGAGGCTATTTAACAAAGGAGGACCTGAGAATACTCATGGAAAAGGAGTTTCCTGGATTTTTAGAAAATCAAAAAGACCCCCTGGCCATGGACAAAATAATGAAGGACCTAGGCCAGTGCCAAGATGGCAAAGTGAACTTCCAGAGCTTCTTTTCACTAATTGCTAGGCTCACCATCGCATGCAATGACTATTTTGTAATACAGATGAAACAGAAGGGAAGGAAGTAGGCAACATTGAGCAACACTCCCTGCCCAATGAGAGTTTTCCAGAAGGGTCTTTTAAGGAATCTGTCCCACAGCTTTCCCCTGTATAAAGTATTCCATAAGCAGATTGGGACCCTCAGAAAATGTACAAATAAAATCCAGCCCCCATTTGAGAAGCAGAGAAAGAAAAGTCAGTGAAAGCCAGATAAGCTTTTGATTTTTATGTTGTTTGCATCCTCTTCCCCTCAATAAACAACTTCTTTTTTCAGTTCCTCAAGAAAAAAAATATTTTAAAAGATTTTAAAAGTATCAAAATAGATTTGAATATTGGGCTTATGATATCCAAAAGAAAGATGTAAAAATACTGCATTTGTATTTTATTAAAAAAATACAACAAACCTGTTATAAAAAAACAAAATATCGGAAACATATCCTGTCAGCTATCAGTAAGTGAGGACAAATTGATACCTTATAGGCACACAAGCTGACTTGATAACAGAAAATTAATGATCATAACCTGATCATAGTGTGCCAATAAAAGAAACAACTGTTAAGAAAAGAAGACACCCAGATATTTTTACGCTAAGACACTTGAATATGAATATGGAAGTGAATGTGAATATAGTCTAAGCTTTATTCATGATAAGAGAAATTCAGATTAAGGTCATCAAAATATATTTTACCTTTCAGATTACTAAGATCAAAGAATCTGGTATAGTAATGTATTGGTGAGAGAATGGGGAAAGCACTCGTATATTTTTTATGAGTTTAAATTTGTAATACTTTTAGAACAGTTTGGCATCTACCAAATTTATAAATATACTTACTCATTTTGGTGAAGTACGCTGGTATTCTAAATATTTGCTTCCTCCCCCTATGGAGAGAATTATACATCCACATCCTTCGACATCCTGGACACATGACTTTCACAGTGGACTCTAAGTAGAAGTGGCATGCATTATTTTTAAGCAGCTTTAAGAGGCACCGTATGGTTAACCATGTCCTTTTCCCCTTCTACCAAAAACATAAAGTATTTTGGAAAGGGGTTGTTTCTTCAGCCTAGGTCCTAGAATGAGGATAATGTACAAAAGAGCCAAAGCATCCTGCAGTGAAGATGTAACATGAGTGAGAGAGAAACCTTTAATGTTATAAGCTACTGTGAATGCGACATCAATGTGTTATTATGGTGTAATTCAACCTAAGCTGCTGGATACAGCATTTTACTCAGTGGCTTGAACTCTTTGAATTTATTCTTTACTTATATTCATGAATACATAAAATAGATAGATAGATAGATAGATAGATAGATAGATAGATAGATGATAGATAGATAATCAGTTACTGTTATTATGTGTAAGAACGAAAGACTGGAAACAACCTAAATGTTCATCAGTAGCGAACTGGCTAAGTCAAGTATGATGCAATCATATAAAAATCCTATGAAACTGCAGGAAAAAAATGAGGAAGCTTTTATGTATTAACATGAACTGATCTCACACATATATTTATGCTTATGGGAATGAAGAGACATAAAATAGTTACGTGTTCATGCAGACTACCTCTGAAAGGTGGTATAAGCTTGACTCTGTTTAGAAAAACTGGATGGCAGATGAATAGGTTTGAGAAGGTGATTGTTTTTATTGCATACCCCATTGTACACTTTTAATTTTGAATGTTTGTGAATGTATATGACATCCTCAAAAGAAAACTAAAATTGCAGATAACAAAAGAAGACACATTATTTGAATGAGTCATATCTGGAGTTTGGAGTTCTGATCTTCCCAGTTATTCTAGACCATAATTAACCCTCCCTTTGTTTAACGTATTAACTTTCACTTCCAGCTACTACCTAGCTCTAGCCATTTTTCATATCCGAGGACAATTCCATGACATGCAGTTTTATCTTACCAATGTGGCCCTCTTGGATTTTTTTTTCCCCTTCTGTAAATTGTAGTAAAGACAGTCAGTGCCCTGCCTAGAACTACTGAACTGATGCACCCATTTTGAAGCTACTGGGAGTGTTGGCTGGTAATGACTTGCATCTTTACCCTTCTCTGGAAAATTGTCTTTGGCCAACAGGAGCCATCTTACCCCAAGATACACAGGAGGTTATGGCACTCTTCCCAGAGTTTTACAGCCAGAGCTGATTGACACAAGAATAAAACAAACAAACAACAAACACCACTCAGCTCAGCTCTCATGGATCAATTTGAAACAACTTTGTGTTGCTAAACATGGTCCAGAGCTCCCCATGGAATCGGGAGCTAGGATCACATATTGATTTAGCTTCTTCCCCTACCCTATCCTGATTTCTTTACTTCCTCACTAGTTTCTTCTGATAACTTTTGTTGGGAGGGTCCATAGGATACTATTTAAAAACATAATAAGACATACATTTTGTGTGTGTAGGTGAATGCGTGTGTGAATGTACATGTGCAGAGGGGAATCGGCCTTCATTGAGAAGGTCAGCGACGGCTGTCCTTTGTAGGTGGGATGTTACAGGACAGCATGCCATTACAGATCTAAGTTTCCTAGGCAGTAATGAGAATGCTAGAATCCTGGAATAGCAGAGACCAGGTGACCAGCATTTAACTATCAAAAGTCAAGGAAGCATCATTAACGTGATGGGCAACCGGATCATCACAGCAGCCAGGGGGACCTGCCTTACAAAGATCTATTAAAAAACGACCAATATAACATACATTATAGGAGAAAGGCAAATGCACAGCCAGCAGGGTATTGTTTAATATATCATCAAAAGACATTAAGACCGGATGAGCAGTCATAATCCCTTACTCATTTTCCAGATCTCATTCAGAGCCTACACTCAAAGTCCATTAATTGAAAAAAGAACCAGTTTCCCATGAGAAAGGGCCTTACAACATTATAGAACAAATATTTAGTAGTAAGTCTCCCAGTCTTTTCATAAACATGACCTGAGCCAAGGCAGATGCTTAACAAACTGAGCCACCCAGGCTCTCCTTGAAAAGATTTTTTTATAGAAAGCATATATTTGGGTCATGTTTTGAAATCCACTGAGCCAATCTTTGCCTTTTAATTGGTATATTTAGATCCTTTACATTCGATACATTCAATGTAGGACTAAGTTTACTTAGGTTTACTACTTAAGTTTACTGCTTTATACGTAGTCTTAGCTTGTCTTTTTAGTAGAGTCGTAAAGTTTGTAGTAGTAGTAGAATTTATCTTTTTTTTTTTGAGTTTATCTTTTTTTGAGGAATGATTTATTTCATCCAAGTTGTCAAACTTGCGTATGTAGAGTTTTTTGTAGTGTTCCTTTATTTCTCTTTGATGTCTGTAGGGCTTATAATCATATAATCTATTTCATTCCTGATTGGTGATTTCTGTCTTCTCTTTCTTTCCTTTATCAGTCTTTCTAGAGGCTTGTTATTTTCTTTTTTGATCTTTTTGAGGAACCAATCTTTGCTTATTGATTTTTCTATGCTACTTTCTGTTTTCAATTTTGTTTATTTTTGCTCTTATTTTTATTATTTTCTTTTCATTGCTTGTTCTGGGTTTACTTTGCCCTTCTTCTCTAGGACCTTCAGATGGAGCTTAGATTATTGATTCAAAATCTTTCCTCTTGCTAATACATGTATTGCATGTGCTATAAATTTCTTTCTCAGCATTGTTTTAGTTGCATCCTAAAACTTTGGATGTTGTATTTTCATTTTTATTTACTTCAATGTACTATTTTGATTTTTCTCAAGATTTCTTCTTTGACCCATAGATTATTTAAAAGTGTATTATTTAGTTGCCAGGTGTTTGGAAATTTTCCTGTTATCTTTCTATTATTGATTGCTACCTTGGTTCCATTGTGGTTCTAACACATCTGCATGATTTCAGTTTTTTTACATTATTCAAAATTTCATTTATGGGCCAGGATAAGGTCTATCTTTGTATATGATCCAGGAATATTTGAAAATAATATACATTGTGATGATATTAGATGGAGTGTTCTATAAATGTCAGTTAGATCCTATTGATAGATGCTATTGTTGAGTTCTATACCTTTGCTTATTTTTTTAGTTGTTTCATCAGTTGTTGAGGGAGGAGTGTTAAGTCTCCAACTCTAGTTGTGGATTTTTTTTTCTCCTTTTAGTTCTATCAGTTTTGCTTCACATGTTTTTTTAGCTCTTTCATTTAGTGCAGACATATTTAGGATCAGAATGTATCTTTTTATCATTATATAGTATCCTACTCTGTTCGTGATATTTTTCTTTGATCTGAAGTCTACTTTATTTGATAATAATGTAGCTTCCTTTTTTTTGTTGCTTCCTTTTTTGATTGATTTTCCATTTCTTTTCTTTCAACCCTCCTATATTGTTATATTTGAATACAGATTTTTTTTTAGATGTAATTTATTTATTTGAGAGAGAGAAAGCACATGAGAGAGCATGAGGGGGGAGAGGGGCTGAGGGAGAGGGAGAAGACTCCCCACTAAGCAGGGAGCCTGAGGCAGAGGTGGGGCTCCATCCAGTACTCTGAGATCATGACCTGAGCCAAGGCAGATGCTTAACAAACTGAGCCACCCAAGCTTTCTTGAATAGAGTTTTTTATGGAAAGCATATAGTTGGGTCATGTTTTGAAATCTACTGTGCCAATCTATGCCTTTTAATTGGTATTTTAGACCCTTTACATTTGATACATTAAAGATAGGACTAAGTTTATATAAGTTTACTACTTAAATTCACTACTATACATGTTTTCTGTTTATTTTCTGCATTTTTGTTGTTGTTGTTCTGTTTCCTTTTTACTATCTTCCTGTGAGTTCAGAAAACATATTTTAAAATTCAATTCTGATTTGTCAATAATACCTTTTCAGAGTAACTCTTTGTGTAGGTTTCTCTAATGCTTGCTTTGGTTTTAGGATTTATATACATAACCTCCAGTTTACTGGTGTCTCTTTTGCCAATTCTAGTGAAGTATAGGAAGTTTATCTCCCATTATGTACTTTTACTCTCTTTCACTTGTTAAATATTTCTTCTATATTCATTTAGAACCAC